AAATGAAATTATTATATTCTTATACAATTATAAATTTAGAGAGTTAAAATTTTGAAATACTCCAACAAGTTTTTTATATTTAACAGTTAATTTTATTACTCCCAAAAAATATTTATTATTTCTTTCTATCTTTTATTTTAACTAGTTTTTCTCTAAATTATTAAATTGAAACATTTTGAATGCATTAACTTGGAGCATGATTTTAATGATTGACTCTTAATAATAGAGAATATCACATATTTAAAGAGTCTATCGAAGATGCTTTTAACGTATAATCTAATCTAATGCAGGTCTAGAGTCGTTTCAAGATGCCAATTATTTTGCAATGTGAAAGCAAAATTTGTGACAAGCTGTTCTAGAATACATAATACTAAGGAAACAAATATTTTAGAAAGACTTTGAGCCAATTTATATAATTTTTTATTTGTGCTTGTTTGGGAGAAATTATAAGTTGTTAAACTTATAAAATAATGAAAATATGGATAGTAGTCATGGATATTAAGAAATATGTGAAAAATTAACATAATTGATAATTCTATAGACCCAAGTTTGGTTTATGGACTTTAATATCATATCATGGCATTTATGTGCCGAATGGATTGAATTGCATTCCAAATTTGCATGGAATGAGAGTGCCTAATGACATCAAGCTACTCACACAAGATTTGAAAGTATGTCCATTATAATTTGAGAATAATTGAAACATATAATAATAACAACAACAACAACAACAACAACAACAATAACAACAACAACAACAACAACAATAATAATAATAATAATAATAATAATAATAATAATAATAATAATAATAATAATAATAATAATATATGTAGTAAAAGGTAAGTTTATTAGGGTTTAGAGGTAAATGACAATTATACCCTTGCAGCCCTAGAAATTATTATTATTGTATCCATGATTCTGCCCTATAAATATAGGGTTTTGGTTCTGAATAAAATACTCACAGGTCTATTGACTTCTTTCTATTCACTTCACTTTTCTTCTCTTTTCACAACACGTTATCAGCACGAAATCTTAATATTTCAAAATTTAGTGAAGATTCATGATGGATTGTTTAGATACCTGCTTAATTGATAGTGCAACTACACATACTATTCTTCAAGGCACAAAATAATTTTTGGACTTAATATTAGAAGAAAATAATGTTAATACAATATTAGGTGTATCGAACATCGTTGAAGGCTCCGGAAAAGCATATATTATTTTATCAAATAATACAAAATTATATATCGATAATGCACTTTATTCCGGCAAATCCAGAAGAAATTTGTTTAGCTTTAAAGATATCTGCTGCAATAGATATCATATTGAGACGATGCAAGAAAATAATATTGAATATCTCTGTATAACTTCTTTTGTATCTGGTCAGGAACAGATAAAAGAAAAATTTTATGCACTCCCATCTGATATGTATTATACATTTATAAAAACGGTTGAATTAAATAATATCACGAACCAGAAGTTCGTTGACACAAAAAGTTTTATACTTTGACATGATCGACTTGGACATCCAGAAATTATAATGATGGGTCGAATAATAAATAATTCACATGGACATCCTTTAAAAAATCATAAGATTATTTTACCTAATGATTATCCATGTGTAATTTGTTCGCAAGGCAAGTTAGTCATTAGACCTTCGACTACAACGGTCAATATTGAATCTCCAACTTTTTTGGAAAGAATTAATGGAGATATATGTGGGCCAAAAATACACCCACCATGTGGACTTTTTCATTGTTTCATGGTTTTATTTGATTCTTCTACTAGATAGCCACATGTTTGCCTACTTTCCACTAGAAATGTAGCATTTGCTAAACTACTTGCTCAAATTATAAAATTACGAGCGCAATTTCTCGATTACTCAATTAAGAGTATTCGCCTTGACAATGCTGGTGAATTTAGATCACAAGCATTCAATGATTATTGCATGTCAATTGAGATTGTACTTGAACATTCAGTTGCGTATGTCCATACACAAAATGATTTGACATAATCGTTTATTAAACGTTTACAACTTATTGCTAGATCATTACTTATGAGAACAAAGCTCACATCTTCTGTTTGGGGTCATCCAATATTAAATGCTGCATCATTGGTTCGTATTAACAACATATTATCAATATTCACCTTTGCAATTGACATTTGGTTATGAACCTAATATTTTTCACATACGGATTTTTAGTTGTGCAGTCCAAGTTCCTATTTCACCCCTACAACGTACTAAAATGGATCCCCAATGAAGACTTGAGATTTATGTAAATTTTGATTCACCATCAATTATTAGATATCTTGAGCCTTTAACGTGTTACTTATTTACTGCACATTTTACAGATTATCATTTTGATGAAATGACTTTACCAACTTTGGGAGGGAAAAAACTGAATACTAAAAAAAAAATAAGGTAAGATTATTTGGAATAAAATAATTCTATCTTACTTTGATCCTTGCAGCAATCAATGTAAGCAAGATGTTGAAAAAATCATTCATTTGTAAAGAGTTACAAAGAAATTATCCGATATATTTATTGACACAAGAAAAATGACAAAGTCATATAAATCAGCAGAAAATATTTCAACAAAAATTGATGTCCTTGTAGGAGAAGCTCCTGCAGCAAATGAATCTCAAATACGCCAAAAACGTGATTGACTAGTTGATTCAAAAGACTCTATGCCTAAAAAAAGTATAAGAGAAAAATCAACCAATTTTTTTGAAAGAAGTCACATTAGAAAAGATTGATCAATCAAATATTGAAAATATGGTTTCCTAAGAACCACAAGTGTCCGAAAAATGATATTTCAATAAATTATATGTTATCTTATAAATTATGAGAAAGGAATAATGTTGTTATAGACAATATTTTCGCCTTTAATATGGTTCTTGATATTATGCAAATGAGGATCCTGAATCACTGTCAGCTAAAGACTGTCAAAATAGAAATGTTTGGCCAAAAATGGAAAGAAGCCATACAAACAGAATTGAACTATTTGGAGAAACGAAAAGTGTTTGGACAACTCGAAAATGTAATCCCTGTTTGATCCAAATGAGTTTTTGTACGAAAGAGAAACGAAAAATAATGAAATTACAATGTACAAAGCTCGACTAGTAGCTCAAGGTTTCTTACAAAAGCCAGGATTTATTATGAGGAAACATATTCTACTGTAATGGACACCATCACTTTTAGATTCTTAATTAGTTTTGACCATGTTACAAAAGCTTGATATCCACCTTATGGATGTAATAACTGCATATTTGTATGATTCATTTGATAGTGACATATATATGAAAAGTCCCGGAAGGACTTAAGGTACCAGAAACAAACGATATATGCCCAAGAACTATGTTCTCAATTAAATTGCAAAGATCATCATATGGATTGAAACAATCTGGACGCATGTGGTATAATCGTCTTAGCGAATATTTGTTGAAAGAGGGTTGTAATAATGACGATGTCTGTTCATGTGTTTTCATAAAGAAAACAAATATTGGATTTGCAATTGTGACATTTTATGTTGATGATTTGAATTTAATTGGAACTTCTGAAAAGCTCAACAAAACTGCTGATTATTTGAAAAATGAATTCGAGATAAATGATTTGGGAAAAATCAAAATTTGTCTTGGATTGCAGATTGAACATCTCGCAGATGAATTATTTGTTCACCAATCTACGTACACAGAAAGAGTTTTAAAACATTTTTATATGGATAATGCACATCCATTGACATCACCTGTGGTTGTTTGATCATTTGATGTGAAAAATGATCAATTTCGCCCACTTGAAGATGGAGAAAAAGTTCTTGGTCCTGAAGTACCATACCTTAGTGTAATTGGAGTATTAACTTATCTTGCAAATTGTACTCGACCCGACATAACTTTTCTGTAAATCTCCTTCCAAAATATAGTTTTATACCAACTCAAAGACATTAGAATGATATTAAAAATATTTTTCGTTACCTAAAGTGTAATATTGATTTGAGATTATTTTATTCTCAAAAGTTGAGATCGGCTTTAGTAGGATATGCAGATGCAGGTTATCTATCCGACTCACGTAAAGCTAAATCACAAACAAGTTATGTGTTTACACATGGAGAAACGGTTATATCTTGGAGATCTGTAAAGCAATTCTTGACAGCAATATCCTCAAATCATTTTGAAATTATTGCAATCCATGAAACAGACTGAGAATATGTGTGGTTGAGAAACATGATCGATCATATCCAAGTATCACGAGGTTAATTTCAACAAATGATAGTCCAACAATTTTGTATGAAGATAATGCAGGTTGTATTGCACAACTCAGATGAGGCTATATCAAAAGTGGCAGAATGAAGCATATTTCTCCAAAAAATTTTCATACACATGAGTTTCAAAAGAATCGTGACATCGATATCCAACAAATACGCTCAAGTGACAATATGGTCGATTTATTCACAAAAGCACTGCCAATATCTACATTCACGAAATTAGTTCAGGAGACTGGAATGTGTCGACTCAAAGATCTTCAATGATCAACATTAGGGGGAGTAATTATACTCTTTTTCCTTCTATTAGGTTTTATCCTATTGGGTTTTCATAGCGGGGTTTTAATGAGGTAGTATTTATTTTTAGTACTCCAAAATAATTGTACTCTTTTTTCTACGTTTGAGTTTTTTGTCCTATTGGATTTTTATCAAACAAGATTTTAAAGAGGTAGATATTTTGTAATGTGTCATTCAATGTGGAGTGTTGTAAAATGTAAGTTTATTACGGTTTAAAGGTGAATAAAAATTATAGTCCTATAGTCCTAGAAATTATTATTGTTGTATCTTTGATTCTACCCTACGAATTCAGGGCTTTGGTTCTTAATAAAATACATACAAATCCATTGATTTCTCCCTGTTCTCTTCACTTTTCACAACAATATCGACTTAGACTAGTAAACTATGCTTTGTATTTACAAAATAAACAGATTTACAAACGACCATTTTTGTTTCCCAAAAATACTAAAATAATTTATCAAAAAGAAAATCAAACTCATACCTGATCAAATTGAACAACAATTTAATATTTTAATCACAGAAAGTGAAAAAAACAAAAAGAAAAAAAAAAATCATAAGAAGAACCCCACTAGATCTTTTCTGTATGGCAGGTACGACTTCGGCCGATCTCCGCCGTTTCTATCGTTTAGCGCTTCTGCTTTCGCTTTTCCCCCACCGAGAACCGGCGTTTCTAAGCTCTTTTTAATTTTCTCATTTTCCTTTTGTTTGCTCGGAGTTAAAATGTCTAGAGTACCCTGATCGCCATCACTGTGGCTCCTGTTCAAAAGGTTTTTAAACTTGCACCTCTTAGTGGAGCCAGTGGAGTTGCTCTTCTTGCACCGCCCTTCCGCTTCCCCCGACTTTGGCCTCCACGTGCAGTAGGTTTCCGCCGGAACTCCGTCGAGATCATCCACCTCCGATGGCGAAGAAGACGTCTTTTCACTCTGAATGAAAAGCTTCCTTAATGGAAGACTAATCGGAGCCTTAGACGAAGAATCCGAATTTCCGATCCATAAACCTCTATTGAAAATGGGGAAGACGGGTCGGATCTGACCGTTGTAGAAGATTTCATCAGCCGAAATTGAAGACGAAAATTCAGAATCACTGGTCACAAATGCGAACTCAAATTCTTCATCAACGTCATTTTTCGAATCAGCTTCATTTTCTTCTTCAGTTTTTTGATAAAGTTCTTCACATAATTCTTCAGAATTGAACTCTTCTCCATTGAATTCTTCAACCACCCGATCTGCAATTTCAACGATTTTACTATTGGAGTAGCTATTGAAGCTCGGAGAGATCGAGAGCATCTGACCGGTCTGCATTATCTGTATCACCGTGAGCAAAACAAATATGTAAAAATCAAAGAAAATTAAGTAATGGAACTCTCTTGAAAATTGTTTTATGACTTGGTGAGAGATTATATAGATAGGCGCGAATGGTTGGATAAACATTTGTAAAAGAGAGAAGAAAAAAGGCATTAGAAATATACGCGGGAGATGAAGGTTATGATTGTATGCGGTAAGGTGCATGTTAAATTTCTGATCATCTTTGAAAAATCCGTGGGTG